AAGGCACCTGGCTCCATAGTGTCCCCTCATAGTGTGTTCCAGGTGTGAAGGGATGGGACGCAAAGCAGCAGAGTGCCAGGAGTTCATAAAATGCACTTTGTGGGGTAGGGAGGGACACTTGATAAGTGCCCAACAGCTTTTGCAACCAAGGTCAGGCCCCTCAAAGAACCACAAAAATCAGAAAGGGACAGTGAGGAAGAGAAGGGGGAAGAGACCAGGACAGAAATGGTAGAGGAGACTCTGCAGTGGGGAAGAAATGGAGACAAAAGGAAGCAGAATCTCTGTAATAGAGGATGCATAAGAAAGAACTGGAAACAAAATGGAAGGGGAGGAGGGAACAGCAAACAAAGGATCAAAAGACATGCAAGTGGGGAAGTGGAAGAAGGAAGAACCCAGCAGACAACAGCAGTGAAGATGGAGCAAGGAAAAGAGCCAGCGAGAAAGGAAGGGGGAAGGAAGAAAGTCCGGACAAAGAAATATGATAAAGGGGGAGGCAAGTGAAGTCAGAGCTAGAGAGCAGCTTTCTGCCACTAACTCCCTGGGGCTCCAGCCCTCAGTGGAGAGTGGGGAGCAGGAAGTCACAGGGACCTAGATACAGACTGTTAAAAAGCCTGAGGCTGAATCGATTCAGTCTTTGCAGGTTAGTCTAAACTGCACAGATTAAATTGAAACAGAAGTGAACAGACATTTACTTTTGATTCAGGAAATGCAGCCACATGCCTGCAGTGGCTCAGGCCAGAAGCAGAGGCAGGCCACCCTGGGCCAGTGGGGAAAAGGTGGGCACAAAGTGGGGCATGTTCCGAAGGCGAGCGAGGTCACCCAGAGTACTGGGGTGATGCTTGCTCTGAATGACCAGCCCTTCTCCTTTGTTGAGTGTCCAGGGTTCAGGCAGTTTATGGCACTCATGGCCCCAGTGTATCAAGTGACCATATGCACCACCTTTACCAGGACAGTGATATAACGGAGATTTTCAAGAAAATAGCAAAAACATGAGAGACAGAGAGATTTTACAAAATGTGTTGTAATCTTACTCTTCAAGAAAGGGGGAAAGGAACTCCTGAACAACTGGAGACTGATTACACTCCTTAACGAGGATTATAAGTTTATGGCCAACACACTGACTTTGAGGATGAGGAAAAACCTCTAGAAGGTAATACATGAAGACCAAGCTGTGCAGGGGCCTAGTGGTTCCCTCCACAGCCACACTTCCTCCCCCTCCCCCTTCCCCACCCCGGCTGGGCAGCTCCCACCTGCTAGCAGCCCACCCAAGAGCTGGCCAGGGGGTACCGCAGCTGCAGAGGGAAGCACTGGGCCTTGGGCTCTAGGAGAGAAAAAAAAAAAGATCAGTCTCTTCACTGCTTTTTTTTTCTTCAGTTGGGGCTGCCTGCACAAGCTACTGCTGGGGTGCACAGCCCCTGAGCTGCGTAGGGCCTGGTGCTTCCTGGCCTTCAAACAAGAGTGAAATTAGAGTGATAGGTATCCCGATGGACACCAATGGAAAAAGTAGTACAGCACAGGAAAAGGTGACAGCAAGGATACAGCAAGTATTTTGGCTATGGTTTGGAAGTGGAGGTGGTTAAGTACAGAGGGAAATGTATGTGTTCTTTTTGTATGCCAGAAGAGAAGAATTGGACAGATTTGAACTGTACAAAGCAAGAGAGACGGGGCGGAGGAGCGGGGGGGCAGGGAATGGGGCATGCCAGACTTGGGATTGTTTGTCTATTCAAAATATGTAAGTGCGATATGCAAGGCAGTAACGGAGAGGGGAAAGCAGTGCATATCTCCTGATTTCATGCAGCTGCAATTTTGTGGAAGTAGGGAAGATACAAACCTCTCTGAAGAGGCCACGGGTGTGGCAACCACTGGTTCATTACATCAGGATGCAAAGTTACGTTCAGTATAAAATAAGAAAGGGAGGGCTGGAGGTCCTGAAGGATCATAAGAAATGAATGAAAGCAGTAAGAGAGAAACAGGTTGGTACTGGTGGGAAACTTCAATTTTGAGGAAATCGGGAGTATATCAGACCTTTTCATGAAGAGGTATAAAATAGGGAAGTTAGGGCTCCTGCTCCTGAAGGATCTTAAGAAATTGATGAAAGCAGTAAGGGAAGGAGTCAGGATGGCGCTGGTGGGAAACTTCACAGAAGGACAGGTGAAGAAGATGTGGGGAGCAGTGGCAGGTAAACAACCAAAAGGGGAACATGCCTATCTCGCACGGGCAGTTGTAAGAAAGGTACAACACAGATGAGGCATATCTAGGTGCCCAAAGGAGAGGTGTGGAGAAAAAGAAATGGTGGGATGTGCTTTGGGAGTGTACATATGCAAAGGGTCTGTCACTTTCTGAGTGTCACCAAAATAAACCTGTTGTTAGCATGGGAGATGGTACTACAGCAAAAGCTGTGTTATCTGGCATCCAGGGGGAATGTGGAGTGCCAGTTAATCAAAATTGCCAGTTATCTGAGACGTGTCTGTTCAGGCCACCACCCCTCCCGCTGCATCTGGTGCATCAGTATGCCGGGGGACAGGAAGAGGGGCTTGAACAGAAATTATGAGTAGCAAAGAGGGGGGCCCCGCACAGGCTGCTTTGCCTCGGGCCGTGGGACTCGACAAAACCGGAAGTGCCATGGTGGGGCTTCCGGTTTTGCTTTTGCTGCATTGATCGCCATGCTGGTTAATAGAGCAGGCTGGTTAGTAAAGTGCTGGATAGCACAGCTTTTACTGTATATGGACTCGTACCAAAGGGACCAGAGAAAATGTTATTAATGACTTTATTAGCATGTTTTCAAGCTAGTTTATGGAATGTAGGAAACCTGCAGTTTTAAGGGGTTGGCCTTCACTGAAAGAGAGTGCCTGAAGGTAGGGCTGCATGAACTGAAATACTACATTGATTGGGACAAGGAAGAGACCAGAGAAGAAGAGGCAGAGGAGAAGTGGAGGTAAAGGGACTGAACACCCTTTATTTCACTAAACCAACAGAGAGGAGTGATGGGAGGGGCAGAGAATTTCATTTGGTTACTAAGGTAATAGTTTTTCATGGGTTTCTACATGAAGAAAAAGAGTTCTGTAAGGGGTTATTTTGTGGGAAGTTGATGTATGTTGTTTAAGGATTTCATATGTATAGCTGTATGTTTTTAATTATTTTTTTTACAAAAGGACTGCACTAAGCTATCCTTGTGGTAGTTTCCTGCCAACGTTGTGGCAATGTCAAATCATTTTTGAGCTTTTCCCCTAGCTGCTCCTCAGCCTTTTGGCTAGCAGCAGGCAAGACTAGGGGCATCTGAACTCCAAGGCTTCTGGGCCTGGGAACTACACATAGGATGTCACCTCCCCCTCTCCCCCCCAAAAAACCCCCCAAAAGGTTATTCAACATATAAATAAGTGCCAGAGTGCTGTGCAAATGTGTCTGTGTGAAACACCTGTGCTAAAACTTGCAGCAGTTTCAATAAATGGTAACAACCATTAATTCTAGATGAACTAAGTGCATGGGTACTATATGTAAATTGCTACAGCCATGTTTAATTTCAAGGTTAATGTTTTCAGATTTGGTCCTCACTTTTATGTGCTCAGGGAAAGCAGTAAGCATGTTTTCCTCTGACAGTAAGAGGAGGAGGAAGGGCCTGCCAGAAGAAAAAGTTGCAGGGGGAAGCAGAAAGCAAAGGGGCTTTCTGATCCCCCAGATTCATTTTCCATGCTATAGCAGTAGGAGGGGGACAAATTCAAGGCAAACCTCCAATAATTAGATTTTATACCTGGAATATTATAACAAATTTATACATTTTCCATATATCAAATCTAATTATTGAGGGGTCATCTTATGATAAGAGTCATCTTCTATTTGAGTAAATATGGTACTTGATATCTAGTCTCCTGTAATTTTGACTTGAAATGTCCCTTGAAGTACCCCACTAATGCCCTACTAAGCCCCACTAACTCCTCTTGTGTTGAACCCACAAGAGGAGTGTTACAGGAACTTTTGCTGACTTATTCATCTAGGTGTTAATATACCAAGTTGTAAGGAAAGTTAGTAGCCAGGTCATGAACAGAAGTGTCCTGAAAGAGGAACCCTAAGAACAGTCAAGCATGGGGAGAAAATTTAACTTGATTTTTTGCCATTTTTTGCTTTTTCATTAATAAAAACCCAATCCAAGGGAGAAGCAAATTTGGAGTGTACATAGTAAGAGGACGGTAGATTGGGCTGGAAAAAGGGTGTGCCCTCCTTTCTCCACACTATAAACTATATGATGTTCCCATATATGTCTCAGAAGAATGAAGGACTGAGTGCCGTTGTGGCTTCATGCTGTCTCGCTATTCCAAGCATATGTCTCCTTTAAAAAGCTCAAAGACAATTCATACATTTTTGTTTCATTGCATCCCTTCATCTAAAGAAGTTGCTGAAAAGAATGATGAATGCCCAGATACATGAAGATACTGAAATGAGCATAAATTCAGCAGGAGTTAGCAACCTAAACCCTTCAGAGAGATTTATTTGAATGGGTGGACAGCTTTTTTTTCCTCTTGGGCTTGATGGAGATTGTCTCTGTGGGAACAATGTTTGCTGGCAAAGTAGGAGAGGCCTTTAAAGGAAAAGGCTAGGAGTTTATCTATACTGGAAAATATCCCAGAAAGGCCTTTCTCCACTCATTCCTTATGTATACTCTTATTCTCAACTAAGAAATCCCTATTGTCCATTTTAGATCTGGATGAAGGTAGCCCACCAAATGGTGCTCTAAGTGTGTCCACATGGACATGTGGTACAAATTGCTATTGTGAAATAAAGTTTAGGATGTGAACTAAAAGCTCAGAAGTTTCACTAGGTAGATGAGTCCTAATCATAAAATATTGAGTTGTAGCAAGAAGACATAGGACACATAAGCAGGATGTCAGAGAATACCTTGAATCTGATATGGGCACAAGAAAGGGCAAGTTCTGCTGTTCAGATGTGAGTAAATTTTCAAGCTGGTAGTGCCATGGATGTATGTCTATCTTTATTTTTCCTACTAGAATAATGGAGGCTGTAGTCGATTTGGTATCTGCGAGTACACAGGAGCTGGGACTCGCAAATGTTCCTGTAGTCCGGGCAATTTTGGAGATGGATTCACCTGCAGAGGCAATATATATGAGGTAAAGTATATTCAGAAAGGACTGTGTTTTAACTGACACTTATCTTGGGTGAGCTACTTCCTTCTCTAAAGCAGCAGATGGAAACAAGCAGGATAATGGACAACAGTGACCAGGAAATACCTGGAAATTCAGCAAAGGAGTTGAGAAATATATGAAAGATCCACAAGGTTTAGAAATACATTTCTTTTCATTCTGCCCATGAGTCACTTGAGATTGATAAGAAAGCAGAAAGGAAAATAACTTCTCTCAGAAAGAAAGCATTAAAATGAAACTCTCTTCTGAAAAGTGAATCTGTCATTCTATGTGACCATTGTGTTGAGATGACAAATAGAAGGATGACTTTTTTCTGGAGGAGTCTCTGGTTCTTCTGTAGATTTTCATTAGTACAAATGGGGACAGAACTACTGGTTCAGTGAGTATGACTCTAAAGTGTGTGTCAAGAAGCCTGCATTCCATACCCTGCCTTTTTTTACTGACTTCTTGGGTTGTGTTTTTCTCAAAAGACGAAGGAGTTTAACATATAAAGCAATAAAGCTTGTTTATTCAGAGAGCCTACTGCTCTACTGTTCCCTCCCATTCTCTCCTGCCATCCCTGGGCCAATCGAACAACTTATATATAACATTCTTGAAGGTATCCACACAGGTAACGCTGAACAAGTCAGAAAACATTTCAGTTTCAGTAGATGAAAAATAATAGTGCCTGCAGTAGTACATCAGACAAGAGCCCTTAGTAGGCTTAGTATTAAGTTCTGTTATTAATAGAAACTATTATATAGGGAATAATGTAGTTTGTCTTGTACAAGACTTTGTACCACTTAGTGGCTGCAGGCTGTTGGCATGACCAGAATAAGACTGGCTGGGTGTATGTGCCTGCTCTATAGGTGAGAAATTTAGTTAAGTCTGGGTTTAAAGAGGTGGTTCATATGTAGACCCAGGTAAAGTTCCCAAGTTACCTTATATTCAGGCAATTGTCATGAAGGGGTATTTATGGGTAGGGTTTTTATCCCTAATGTTTCTCCCCCTTGTTACCTCAGAGAAGTTGTAGCAGCAAACAGATCCCAGTAACTGCTTTGAGTAGAATATTAGGACAAAACATTAATTGTAGATGAAGACCCAGCAAATGCCTGGGGAAGATACTGTGCACTGGATTAGTGGGCTTAGAGCCCAGATAGATGTTGCTAGTCAAGGAGGTCTCTAACATGAAAAGAGACCACCAAGTCAAGGGGCTACACTTAGAACCCTAAGGACGTGGCAGGGGCTAGAGCCAGAAAGCCCTGCAAAAGGACCGTGGGCAAGGCCAAGAGCCAGAAGGCCCTGTAGAAGGAACGATTAGGTGGCTGAGACTGCAGGCCCTAAGAGGGACTTGTCAGGGAGCAGAGATTGGAAAGAGAGAGAGATTTTTTAACTCTGATAGACCTTTTTTAATAAAAGTAAAAAAAAAAGTTTTAAAAAAACAAGAGTTAAAAGCATCCAATTAAAAGCACACACTGTGGGACTAGGCATGAAAACAAAAACCAAAGAAGAACAATTTGAGAATAATTGCACCCTCCCCCCTTGTTCCCACACACCTGTGATTACCGTTTAAGGACCAGCTGGGTGGGAGACAGAGAAAGACTTGTGCATATGGACAAGAGTCCTATGAAAGGTCTATAAAAAGAGTAGCTCAGGAGATCCAGCAAGTATCAGAGAAGAGTAGCCATTTGGGAGCACTAGGAGAAGAGTGAGCCCCACCCAGGTAGAGGCTAACAAAATGAGTTGGCTGAAGCCAAGTATAGGGAGAGACATCCTGCTCAGGGGATTAAGTCCAGGGATTGAGCCAGAGCAAGGTGGCCCAGTGATGAGCAGGGTAGAGTGAAGCACCTCCAGTTCATTGTAGTATTCTGAAGGCAAGCTCTCCACTTTATATTCATTTCCAGCAAGGCGTGGCAGGTAAAGAAAGAGTGGTACCCTGAGAATCCAGAGTTAGACAGGATTAGTGTGGCTGCCAGAAGGCTGCACAGCCATTCTCAGAGGCAGGACCCTGTTACACAGACTGCAAACTCTGATGCTCTGGGTCACAGGCTCTAACCTCATTTGATTTTACCTTTCTAGAGCCAAGCACAAAGGCTTGCCATGGCCACTATTTTCTGGACCATTACCCTAGAAACTTGGCTTCTTGACTGTGGTCTTTTAGCACCCACTCTCCATACAAATGACCTGCATCATACAATGTCCAGGCCCACTAAATGCTCCACCAGTTGGAGGTGAGCAGAGCCCCTGGTCTACTCCTTCTGGAAGAAGGGAAGCACCAAGTGGTGTCTCAGGAAGAACCAGCAGAATCAAGCCATGTATAAATGGGTTGTGGCAAAGATGGCAACTTATAGCCAAAACCAATATTGGCATCAGTGCCAAGCCAAGGTGAAGGCCCGCTGTGGGGAAAGCAACATTATCAACTCCTTCACATTTCATGGCACTTGAAGTGGGAGGAGCCTACACATTTGTGCAGTACTGTTATGGCCTCCTCCAAATTAGAAGCAGTTCAAATGAAGGCAGGTTTTGAAGCACTTTATATGCATGTCCATCTATAGTCTGAGCTGCTGTTTCATGTGCTAGGCATACTCTGGGGTAAAGTGGAAAAGCCAGTATGCTGTTAATGAGTTTTTTCTCTTCATCAAAAACCAAGAGACTGAAACATAATCTCACCATTAATATTTTGTTTTTATTTCTAGGAGCTCATGAGGAGTGAAGCAGCTTCTATATTCTTCAATAAGATCCAGGTTGGTGGCACAGTTGTTATTGTCCAAAGGTTTAAAATTTACTTGGCATTTTCTTTAAACGGCCTTATAATCAAAATTGTACTTTTTTGTTCTGCTTTAATTGATGGCAATCACTCCTTGCATTAGGCCTCTAACATCAAGGAAATAAAAGGAGCCGGAGTTTTCACCATCTTTGTTCCAAATGCAGAGTCAATACAGAACAGTACAATGGTAAGCAGCACCTTCTTGGGATGGCCGTCTCTGAACCCTGCACTTTTACAGCTACTCTGTGTGGTCTGTTGATGATGATGTCCTCTAAGAGAGTCTGTTTCACTAAACCAATTTAAGTGAATCAAAGAACTCCAGTTTCGTAGGGCTTTGAAACCATCCCAAATTGTCAATTTTATTTAAGCACAAGTGACCAATTTTTATCATACTTATTTAGCTCTAACCAGAGGCATAACTGAGCAGTTTGGTGCCCTGGGTAGCAGGGTCACATGGGGCAGTGGCTGCTATTTTGCACCCTCCCCACTAAGTTGATACATGTGGCTGGTTCCTTGCTCACCCCACTTTGATTATGCTACTAGTTCTAACCCAGCCCTTACTCCTATTGAAGTAGTTACTTTACTGGTAATATGGAGAATAGTTCCTACTTTAACTAATCTTTCTAGAGGAGATAAATTAGTCATCTTGTCTCTGTCAGCTTGGTAGAATTCTCTAGTGTGTTTGTATCATTGTGACACTTAACAAAGGAAGAATCCTTCAGAGCTATGCTGGGGCCCAGTTCTGGCACTGATGAAACCATCCAGGATCACTGGGGGAAAAATGAGTTCTTCTGGTTACCAGAAAGCATTAAAAATGTGAACCGTGGAGGCATTTAGAGTACATATACCCGAGTCTTCAAACATTGTGAAGAAACACCTGTGAGGGCTGACTCTGGAAGCTAACCAGGAAAATAAAAATGTGTGCAGTTCCTAAAAGACTTCACCTTGGCTCTAGTCTTCAACAACTTCTTAGGTGCAGTTCTGTGTTGCTGGATTAAAAATCCCTAGCATAGTGAAAATATAGGTACAGGAACAAAGTAAAAAGTATTTAATTAGTTTGTTTTCACGCTTCCTTTAATAAACACTTCAGAGGTGATTTGTTTTCAACTTAGTTTAATTTGCAGTCTCCTCCAATTCAGTGGTGCAGTCAGCAGTCAAGCTGGTTGGTCCCAAACCTCAAAGTTGAGAACTAGGTGTTCAGAATAATCTTCAGAGAGGTTCAGTCTTGGTGTCTTGGTTCTGTACTTCCCCAAAGTGGTACAAAACTGTTTTGGGCTCATCTGTGGTCAGAAGGCTGGCAAACCCCAGGAGTTCACTGCCATGCTGCCATTTCTTCTCAGCCGTATTCGTCTCAACTTTTCTCTTGCTCCCAGCATCTGATGTCTTATGAGAGCCTTTTTGGAATATATCCCTATAACTCAGCTGCCTTCTGTCTGTTCTGTTGGCTTTAGAACGAGACTGGACTTCTTCCAAAGGGGAAGGGTAGGCAGAGCAAATAAAGTAGAACATTTCATGTTCTGTTTAGCTACTGGCTAAATTTATTTTAACAGTCCTGATTTCTTGTTCAAGAAAAGTCCTAACATGTGGACCTTTTTATACCATTTTCCTCTCTCTAGTTTGCTGAATGGGAGAATCACACCCTCATCAAAGATTTGCTGCGCTACCACATTGTGGGTTGTCGTAAACTGTTGTCCAGTGACTTGGAGATGCAAGAGTCCGTTGTGGCTTTATCAGGACACAAAATACATATTGCAGTGAAAGAGGTAATATATTAGTGACAATTCATTTCCCCTTATTGTTTTGCCCCCAGTTGGCACCTCCCAAGCTTGTAAAATATTTCTCCTAAACCCTTTGTTTTAGTGGAGGGAGATACAGAGCTAGTACCTTTTATTTAGAAGTCTTGGAGAGGCTTAGAACTTTCTCACTGTGAGGTTGACACAAGGCAAGGCGGAGTGGCACTGTATCAACTAACTAATTCAGAGAAGCCTAAGCTTTTGTAAGCTTACAAAGCTTAGGCCTCTCTGAATTAGTTAGTTGATACAGTGCCACTCTGCCTTGCCTTCTCCCTGACTTCAGACTAACACAGCTAACTAGCTCTCTCTACTATGAGGACTGTTTAAGCACTGAAACAGGCTACTCAGAGATGTTGAGGTATCATTAAGAGTAGGTTAGACAAATACTTGACTGGGATGGTTTAGTCAGGACCAATCCTACCTTAAACAGCAGATTGGACTGGATGACTTCCTGTGGTCCCTTCCAAGCCTCCTTTCTATCATTCTGTGAAAGCATCTTGCAAATGAAAGAGCATAAAAGAGGAGCATCTCTTTTGAAATGTACATTGTATGTTCCTTCTTCCTCAGAATAGTTTGTATCTAAATGATGATGCTAAGGTCATAACCAGTGATCTTGTTGGAGTAAATGGAGTGATCCATATCATTGACAAGATTTTAATCCCAGGTGAACTTCAGGGTCTTAGCATTCCCTCTCAGCTATCACAGGTAAGTTTATAAGAACAATATTTTAATATTTTTTTATAGCGTGACAAGTAAAAAATTCTTAGATTTTGTAGTGAAAGGTACTTTCAAAATGTTGGTGTTGGGGTAGGGAAGTTCTGTTAGCAAAGTGGGTCATGCCTACAAGTGGAATGACAAAAGTGATGGACCAAGGTATATTCAGAGATCATTAAGTAAAAATCACACTATAGAAACAAATATCTAAATTTTCTTATACACAGAGAACAGCCTTCACTAGGTTTTAAAGTATTAACCTGTGCAGGATATTACAAAGATATATCTGAAATGCAGATTCTCTGAGCAAATAGGGGAATACCTCCTATCTTGAATTTTGGGGTTTAATATCTGGGTGCCCCATTGCCTGCCTAAATGGGTAAAATGAATTATTTGGCCCCATGGGGTCTGCTTGCTGCAGTAGCATTACTAAAGGTGGCTGAGCAGGCATGATCCCCAGGTGTGGAATTAGAGGGGGCACCAAAATGGAAGTCCCTTAAGGGGGGGTACCTTTTTCCGACCTTTCTCTGGGCAGTGGGGCTTGAGACTAGAATTTACCAATAGTGTTGTATGGTGGGAGGTGTCCTGCTTTTGGGAATAACTGATGCTGTACATGGAGATGGCATGGCCAGACCAGCACCTACTAGGTTATCTCCATAGCTGCTGGAGGAAGGCACCCTCTGGCCTCCCCACCCTTTTCCCAGGTATTGTACCACTGCCAAATTTGCCTTTTATGTTTGTCCCTAGTGAACAAAAATCAGCAGCAGAGGCACTGAATACACGCGGGCCCAAGGGCGCTGGCCCCCTTTGGGGAGAGAGCTGTGTGAAATGTATAAAACTTTACACATGTCCATCATCCACACCCCAGCAAAAATAAGTCAGTGCCTATGATCATCAGCACTTGGCAACAGGGGTGAGCAGCAGTAGAGGTTGCAGTAGGGGGGCTGAGAGGGCTTCTACACCTGGCACCTGCTACATTAACTTCCTGGATACTGGCCACACCAAAACCTAGCAGTGGCTATTTCCAGTAGCAGGATGATACTCGCAATTGCTGGTGCAGGGTGTAGTATACAATGCCAGTTACAGCTCTGGTTTGTTACTTAACAATATTAAATTAGTACTACATGACAGAAATCAAAATAGCAGCTTTGTCGTGGTCAAACTTTGCCAGCAATGGAAAATTTCTGGCTCTGAGGGCTGGCAGTTTTGCTTCTTCACTTGGAATTTCAGTAAATAAAATTCAGATTCACGTTTTATAACCAACATTTTCTATTATTTTTATAGCAGAACGTCACTGATGTGGCAGAAGCATATGGATACAAAATCTACAGCAAACTTCTGAAGGTAAGCTGTTTGCATTCTTTTCCTGAAATGCTTCATTATGGGGCTGCGTGGGCCATTCATGCAGATACCAGATCCATTTATTATTTTTATACTGTGCATTTATGCTTTGTATTGTGTCTCTGAACAGGAAGCAGGGCTACTCACTATGGTTAACAACCCTGTCCACAGACCTTTCACCATGCTGTGGCCTACTGATGCTGTATTTAACAGCTTTCCTGAGAAGAGGCAAAAATGGTTGTATCATAAAGACCACAGAGACAAGCTGGCAGCATATCTCAAAGTGCACATGATTAGAGCGATGAAGGTAAAAACAGTGATTAAAAAAGTTGGAACCACTGCATTTCTTTTAAAGCCGCCACGTAATTGTAGCAGTCTAGGCTAAGTAACATTGGTAAAAGTAGCAGTGCAGTGGGAGGCACAGGTATTTAGATCTCCAAGGAGAGGACATCTCTAAAAGGGTTTTCTGCCAAATAAACAAATGACCTGGGGTTTAAAGGGTAATTCTGAGCCAGAGCTCTCAGACAATGCAAAGCATTATCCAGTAGAAACTGACTGATTACTGCAGAGCCATTTTGGCCTAAAAATTAAAATGCAAAAACTAGGGAATCACAAACATTTTAATTTAACATGTACTGAATTTAGTGTTATTATAATTGACCAGTGCTTAGGTCTGGAAATCAGGCTGAAACATGAATGCTGAAAGTATTACAGATTCATCAAAAAAGTGTTCTTCTGAGGTTTGGAAAATGTTTGTCATTTAATCAGTGAAAAGAAACCATACCATGTGACTTAACATATCTAACCACATGGGAAAAATAGTCTAAATGATGTTTTCAAACAGACCAAGTGAAAATTATTCAACTGTGCAATATGAGCAAATTCTTAAGAACAACAGATAAATTGAAGGCAATTTCAGTCAGTTTTTAACCATTTACTACAGTGTCAAGTTTTAAACTGGCAATATTTTAGTAGTTCCACTAACTCCATCCTTATGCAACTTCATTTCATAATACCAGTACTCTGCTCAGTGTGGTTGTTTCAACTGAGTCTTCTGAGGAAAATCTTATGTATCAATCATTAGTTTCCCTATCTTTCCTATTGTGTTATTTTTATGCATCTCCAGATTGTAGCTGGAAACCTGCCACACATTCATTCTGTAAGGACCATGCACGGATCCACTGTCTCTTTCAGTTGCAGCAGAAGTAATGTTGTAAGTAATAAATTTGGACTTTATTCACTACAGAGAAAATATTATGTAGAAAAAACAGTTCAGTTGTGTTTGGCCCTCTGAGTGGTTCACTTGCAGAAACTGAATTCAAAACCTTGAGCTCTATAGGCACATGAGCCTCTCCTGGCAGCATAGAGATTTTTATCTTGGATACAGTAAAAGACCCCTAAACTCCGGTATCTAGTTCAGCCATTCAAGGTGGAACAAAACTCTTAATGTGGAGAATGGATCAGGAAGGGCAAATGTGTACATGTGTATATTTAGCAACAGCAGTGTAACTAAAGGGATACCAGGAAGGTTGCTTTACTTAAGCAGATATTTAACAGTTCTCAGTGGCTGTGTCTACATGCGATGCTGACTGTGCAATTGTTACTGCACAGTCATTTAGCCCTAGTATAAACAAGGACTGATTGTGCAGTAACCCAAGTTACTGCGCAGTAGTGCCAACAAATGCCTTTTTGTAACATTGCTACACAGTAACCTAATACTACCGTGCAGTAGCATTATGTCAAAATTCTTGCCATGTGCTGCTACTGCGCCATAGTATCAAGCTACTGCACAGTCAGCATCTCATGTAGACATGGTTAGTGTTGATGTTTTTTTCAGAATAGGGAATGATGAATGAAAATGAGTTAAAAGAAAAATTGAGATATGAAATGGGGAAGAAAAACATAATTATTTAAGAAAAATTTCATGGATATTTTGTTTGTGTATATATTTATTTGTTTATATGATTTATGCTGCCCTTCCCAACAAGGGCTCAGAGTAGCTTATAGTAAGAGAACGAGCCAAAGGCAGGGCAGAGTGGTACCTTGTAGACTAATTCAGAGAGACATAAGCTTTTGTAAGTAACAGTTGACTTTGTCAGATGCTGTGAATGCCACCTGAAGAAGAAAGCTGTTATTTATTAAAGCTTTTGCCTCTCTGGATTAGTTTGTCTATAAGGTAACACTCTGCCCTACCTTCTGCTTGACTAACTAACTAACTAACATGGCTTACTACCACTCTCTGCAATAAATGAACAAAATAACTTGTAAAACAGGAGCATGAACAAGAAATCAAAAGAACTTAAAGAGCAAATAGAGTGTCAACACCAAACAGAAATGCCTTGAAAAAAATCTTAACTAAGCTATGCTTGCTAAATGTTTTACCAAGCAGGATGTTCTTACAAAGTTTCTGAAAGACATCAAGGCATGAGCTACAACTGGCCTCAAGAGGGAGGGAGTTTCAGAGCTGAGGAGTGAGTACTGTGAATGACCTTTTATGCAATTTTGCCACACAGGCTAGGCACACTGATGGTACTTGCAGGAGGTTACTCTCAGCTAACCTTAGGGATTGTTATGGGGCATAAGGGAGAAGTTAGTCCCTTAAGTCCACAGGATCCAGACCACTTAGGGCCTTATGGGCCAAAACCAGCTCCTTAAATTTTCCCTAAAAAGCTGTTGGGAGCCAGTGCAGACTCTGAAGCAGTGAAGTTGTCTTCCTGGCATCCTACCCTTGTTAGAAGATATGCCACCAAATTCTGCACTAGGGCCTGGGTCATATGAAAAAAGAGAGGTAGAGCTGGATGTCATCGGTATACTGATGGCATCTCACTCTAAATCTCTGCTCAGTCTTGTCCAGTGGCTGCATATACACACTGAACATGAGGCATGACAAATGGGAGCCCTGGGTGCCTCACAGGGAAGTCCCAAGGATGCATCGAGCACTTGCCCATCACCACCATCTGGGATCTGTCTGCTGAGAAAGAGCAGAACCGTTTTAGAAAGGTTGCATGAATACCCACCAGGTCAAGTAAATGCTTTATCAATATCTTATAAGCAACTGTATCAAAGGCCTCCAAAAGATCTGGTAAGATCAGTAGGGCCAAATTTCCCCTGTTGATCTTCAGGCAAAGATTGTCAACTAAGGCCAAAAGAACAAACAGTCTTTGCTATACCCAGGATGAAAACCAGACTGATAAGTGTCCAGGAATCTGGCATCCAGATGTGTCTGGGGCTGTCAGGTGACTGCCCATTCAGTGATCTCCAAACAGTGGATGCTGGAGACTAGGCAATAATTGGGTCCATTTTATAACTGGTTGCTAACATCCCCCCAAGTGCATCTTATGCCTCAGAAATATACAGATTTCATCCTCAATCAAGGTGCTATGGAATTACAAGGCAAAAAATATGTTTGTTATTTAGAAGCCTGATGACTAAGGTGAGTTTGTATGAATCAACTACTGTGGAAGATGGCTTGGACTTGAAGTTATTACATTGGGTTCTGGACATTGGGAATTGTTGGGTGTTTTTGGTTTTTACTTGACAGTTAAAGAAGTATGTTTGCTTTTTCCATTTCACCCAAATAATCAAAACCAGGTGAACAAGTGTAATGTGATGACACAGGATCTAATTATTTGGGATAGTCAGATGCAGATGCACAGGACGTATTCAGATCTCATCAAACCTAATCCATATGATGGAGCCAGACAGATGTGGTGGAAATGGATAGAGTGGCCATGCCCATTGTCCTCTGCAACAGTGGGTCCCATCTAGGGTTCCATTCTGGTCCCAAATAGGTCAATATGAAGGAAGTTGTTGGTTGCCTAGTGGTAGGATCAGTGCTAATGAGGGTTCAGCCACACAAGGCCCTCTCATGAGCTAGGAAATGAATTCCATCTTTCCCACTCTCCTTGGTTCCCCACAGCCTGATTGTTTGCTTTATGTTGTGGCATGCAGTACATTTTAACCTCACTTCATTCCTTCCAGTGGATATACATATTGTAGGTGCTTTAGGTACTAATGAATGCTATTTTCTTACTAATCTGTCTTGAAGGGGGAGCTGTTGGTGGATAATGGCAATGCCAAGATTGTCCAGAGGCATATGGAGTTTAATGGTGGCATTGCCTATGGCATTGATCAGTTGTTGGAGCCTCCAAACCTGGGGTCTCGCTGTGATGAGTTCCTCTCCATTGAGCTTAAGGTGAGTATTTACAGATTTATAAATAATAAAACATCAATCCCTCCCTTCCTCTGCTGCCCACCCCCAGTCCCTCATTCACATGTGTTGTCCATTCAGTGCTGCAGTATACAGCCACATGTACAAACAGTTCAGGAGTGTTAAAAGTTTTGGGTATCTAGAAGGGATGGTTCACTGACCATTATTGCAAGCAAGCTTGTAACTGACAAAGTGAAAAAAGTGTGTGTGTGTTTGTTTGTTTTCTTGTCTTCTTTCTTTCAGAGATCTGTTCAGACCTGTAGGTTCTGTGGTTTTGAGCCTTCTTGTCCTGCTGGATCAGTCCAACAGGTAATGTTTGCTGCTCTTTCAACTTATTAAGTCATTCACCACTTGTAAAATACTGTGGATGGGCCATTTGATCTATGATAGCATTGTTTATAATAAATGTGTTTTATAATAAATGATTTAACAACATTCAAAAATTAATGCCTGGGTAAAACATTGCCCAAATTTGCAGCATGGGGGCAAAATTAAACCCCTGGATATCAATACCCCAGGGAAAAAAACGGGTCAGGGCACAGTCCCAGACCATGCCCTGAGGCAACTGGAGGCTCAGTCCTCCACAGAGACACTTTGGTAGCCTGCCAGAGCATCTCTGTGGTTGGCTCTTTCCTTGGTGCTGAAGCATGCTGCCTGCAGAGCGGGCAGTGATGTAAGCTGCAGGGACCTGGACCAGCTTTGTGCCAGGTACATAAGGGGTTGGGGGGCTGGAGGAGGGGGG